GAGAGAGAGAAGAAGAGAGAGAGAGAGAGAGAGAAGAAGAGAGAGAGAGAGAGAGAGAGAGAGAGAGGGGATGAAAGAGTGAAAGAATGAACGAAAGAAAGTGAGAGTGAGAGAGGGATCGCGAGTGTACTACCGCTCGTATAGAGATTTGAGGAGAATTCGCAATTGCCAAATTATTATATGTTCCATGTTTCAGAAGCAATGCAATTTTTACTTTTGCTGTTGTATCCTAAAACGGCGCACCAAAAGATAAATAAAAAATGCAATAGTTTCGCGTGATCGCAGAATTCATCGAAAATTCGCAGTTTTCGTGGAAAGTTGTTCCTTCCTCGCGCACTAACATCGAGAAAGAAATCGGAAACTAAGGAAATTATTATCTTATTCTAAGATATACTCATAAGACAATTTGGCAGTCGCAATTTTCCTTGATGTTCGTAAGGGCAATAAAACATTGTACATTTTCCGAGTATACTTGTATTTGAATGTGTAAGTTGCATAAAAAGACAGATTTTTTAGATATTGCACTGTCATATTTATTATTCTAAGATAAACGATCGATCGGCTCGCGAGTCGACCGCGCTCTCGAATCGGCGCGAGACGGGAGAGTGGAAGGTATCCCGTTTTCTTTCAAAGACCGACAAAGCAGAGCGCGAGTGCGGTCGATCGGGCACTATTATGAATTAATATTATTAATGATAAAAGGAGGCAAACCGAACGCATTGTTCTTTCCAATAAGAGAAGAAAGCAAGGTTTTTAGTGTTTTCACTACGATTGATAAACGATTCTATATTATTACATATAATATTACATTAATAACAATATTATTACTGTAATGTTTGTTTTTGGTTATTAAAGTGTGTATATAGCAATATATTCTAGAAATGGTCGCTCTCGTGTACTTTTTATTGTGTTAAATCCCTTCTTGAAAAATATTGCCCGTCCTTACTCGTCTGATGCTCTTATTAGCTCCCACTCAATGATATGAAAAGTCAGTGGCGTAGCTAGGAAAGAGTTTCGGGGAGGGCTATAGCTTTAATTTGTTACAAATTATCACTATTAATTAGACACATCTGCACGGTATATTACCCACACTTAGCGCGACCCCAGAGCCAACGACGGGGACGTGATGGGG